CATGTGCACAGCCAGTTCATTATACCACAGTCCAAAAAGCAAAACACACGACAGTTTTATAACTTAACTTTATTAAAAACCATAACAACACGTAGTTTTTTCAGAGTGTGGGCAACTAGTTACATGATTCATTTAGTCACTTTTAAGTCTCCTTAGCCACATTACTTTATCAACCACTTCATTACCCAACACGTAAATCTTTCCATGTACAGGTTTATTATATAACAAGTTCAAAAAAAAAAAAAAAAAAACCATTGAGGCAAATAAAAACCAAACTTCACAAACCATCCTCAAAATTTAAATTCTTTACAAATGTCAACCGTTCTTTACAAGGAGCTAAGTTAATTCGACAAAAAAACAAAGAAAAGGAAAAACAAAACAACCTAAATCTAATTTTCACACTGCTCCACCTTCACCCTCACTTTCCTCGCTGGATACCAACTCTTCCTCCAAACCCCCTCATCTAGTTGGGTCTGGGTTATATCCCCCTCTCCTGGCCTAACAACATTAAAGTCCATGTTAGGGAAGAGCTCTTCCACCCTGTACTTGAAGCTCATCCAGCCACTATCCCAGTACTGGCTCATCTCATGTTTGTAGTAGTCTGCTGCTAAAAACTCTGGATTATTTCTTCTTCGGTCTGCCCAGCAGCAGCCACCTCTGACGACCTAGTACCACTTTTCCCCTCTCTGGCCAAGCCCCTCGCCATAGCTGCGTTAATGGCCATTTGGAACTCAAGGGATGGCTTAAACTGTTCCATCGCAATGGGGCATAAGTTCGGATAGACAACCTTTTCAGACGTCATCATCCTGGCTAAATTTGCAGTCTTGGCCCTTTCTTTACCCAAGGCCCTCTCCAACTCAACGACACGCGCATCTGTCTCTTTTTTGTCTTTCAAGGCCTGATCGCACAGCTCTTCATTATTTATGAGGGCCTTTTCTAATCTCTCTTTGGTGGTGTTGCAGGCTTCTTGGACCTCTTCCATCTTCTTCTGCTCACTTGCCAGCTCAAACTCTAGTGATACCACCTTGTGGCATACCACTTCAAGTTCAGACTTGGCGACTGACAGCTCGGAGGTGACCTCAGCTTGGCCTACCCTGGCGCGCTCAGTCAAGTAACTCTGCACCATAACCAATACCTCTATCTTTTTCGCCCTCTGAGCATAGGCGCTCTGCGCTGCCTTTCTCCAGCCAGCCGTCTCCATCTTTAAGTTCTGCAATTGCGTTCGTACCCCTTCTAGCTGGGCCTTCAGCAGCTCCGCTTCCACATTCGCGCCCCACTGCCTTACCCAGTAGGGTTGCTATTAGGGTCGCTGCTTTCATCTGCGTTGAGTAGAACCCTCTCATGAGGTCAACCTCTGTAAATTATGCCATACTCCACACGGTCGCGTCCTCAACTACCCCCAACAGACGGTCTGCAGCGACCCTGGATTCACCCCTATCACCCGCTAAGTAGCCGACCACCTCGCAAACATGATACGTGGTGGTCCTCAATGCTGCACTCGTCTCTGCTCCGCTCGCCCGCTCTCTCCCTGCCTCCTAACTTAGGGCACTTCTTGTAAGGGCACGTCCTTGGAGGGCAGGTCTACCGACCGGTCGGCTTTTGCCAACCCTTGTTATTCATCTACTTCGTTCGACACTTAGCCACTTGGGATCTTGGCCAAACCTTCCTCCACCCCCACAGCAACCCTGGTCTCCCCCTCTTTTACTTCTGGGGGCAACTCCAACACCCCTTCTTTTGTCTTTTTCAACACCAATCCTCCTTCACTTTCCTCCGAAGCCACCTTCCTCTTCTTTTTTTTCTTCAACATTGACTCCATCTCCCTTTTGCTTCTCTTCTTCAGTGGATCTACTGGCGCTTACAAGGGCACAAAGTCAGTCAAGTCCTTCTCTCCCAAGGGATTGGGGCGTGGTCGGACTGACCTCTTCGCAACCAGCTTAGGCGCAGGGCCTAATTGTTTTTCTTGATATTTATCCGCCATTGCAAAAACTCACTTGTCCTCTGCCTCCTGAGCTTTTCTCCTTGTGTTCATCTCCTCTGGTGACGGATCTCCTTCAGCTGGTTGAGGCCCCAGATTTAGGGTAAACAAGGCTGAGGGCTGGATGAGGTCGTTCCACTTTAGCCCTTCTTTCTCCCTCCACTCCTTCACCTATTTGACCCTCTTCTCTACCTCAACGTTTAACTTTGGCTCCAATGACTTGGTGGGGACTTTCCAAATTGTGCGCACTCCTCTTCCGCTGCTCGCCGACACAAAAAACCACTGTGGTCGCCAGCCCTTCACTAACAAAGGTAGTCCTGTCACCAATCTCCTTCCTGCTATGGCTTGTAAGGTCACCCATGTCTCCTGTTGCCCTGACACCTTGTAGTATGAGAAAAATTCATCCACCGTTATTCTCTTTCCTCCGGTCGCCCATGGCCACGCAATTGCGCACGCAAATAGAATCTTCTTCGAGTTCGACATTAGTTGTCCTGGGGCCACCTCCAAGTGATTTAGCACGTCGACCACTAGCTGTGGGAGGGGTAACCTCAGACCCCTCCGTAGCGCTTCTTCGTACAGAACGAACTGCATTAACCATGCATCAGAAGCCCTCTCCTTCGCCGTGGGCACTCTCAACTCTACCTCTGCCGAAATCTGGTATCTGTTCCGCAGCTCCTCTATATCCTTTACCGTTAGCGTGGATTTGTCAGCCTCGGTATGCAAGTGGTCTGGCGCCACTTAGCTAATCGGTTGGACCGCCACCATCATTGTCCTTGGAGAGAGTCATACTAGCCGCTCCACAACCCTCTCTTCACGCCTCTCTATTCTATATTGCTCTACTAGTGTCACTCCGTCATCATCTCCTAACACATCCGATGTCATCGCCGGTGCTTTGTCTTGTGCCATCTCTTTCACGTTTCTGTATATCGCCTTGGTTACGGGGGCGAGGAAATCGACAATGTGAAAGAGAGGAGAGTCCACCGAGATGTAAGAGCTCAAGGCTGGAATGTGTTGATTCTTCTCAATAAGGTAAATAAATCACACCAGTCTGAATGCCTAGGGTTTGCCTATGTTCCAAGGATCGAGGTTAACAGTTTGAAATTCAACAAACAAGTACAAACCCCCGCCTTTTCCACATCCCCACCACCAGTCCCTTCACATCCTCCCATCGATTCATATTCCTATATGTGGCCTAATATTGTGCCACATGTACGGTTACGATCCCTTCCTCTTCTCACCAATTCTCTTTCTTCTCCCCCGTCTATTCCACTTCATGTCGTTACATGCTTACTCGTTCATCGAGCCCCGTGCGTCGTCACTGAGTTTTCAGCCTTTCTTCTAGTGCCATTCTGCTCGGGCACCTTCGCGGTCGATCCTCCTTACGGTCGGCCGTCCTTGTCGATTGGTCATTCCTCTCCGTCCTCTTCTTCATGGTCTCTCGGTCTTTCATCTCCAGTCCACCACTCCCCCTTCCACAAATCCCTGCCATCTACTCGGGCTTGGGGGCTCCCTCCACCTTTCCTATTCTCTTCATTGGACTAAAGCTGCACTTGGGAATGAGAGACTACTGATATTGATGGGCCCGTAAGAGGGTCCGGCTCACGACTCAGGATCCAACCCACGGACTAGATATTAAAGCCCAATAGCCTTGAGAAATCGGTGATGGAGCAAGAGCAATAGCATTCAAACACCTGTCGGGTAGGGAATCAACTATGTACGCAGACAAAGATCTTGCAAAGTTATTACACCCACACATCAGCCATTAATGAAGCTCTTATAGCATTAAATGTGACAACCCCTTCACGTCGAAGGATACAGACTCACCATGAACGATGCAAGCTAGAATATAGACTTTCGACCAACAAGACAGTCTGGAATGGACAAGGAAATGATGGGCAAATGATATAAGGAAGCTTCCGAGATGCGTTAAAAGTTAAGTTCTTCATCCCCCTCTTCTCTCTCTACACAATCAATCTACTCTATCCTAACTCGATCATCGGAGTGTCCGCCGGGGGATTACCTTCCCCCTTGTACCTTTTTGCAAGCACGTTTCGTGGACTTCAAGGCTAGCAAACCTATTAGAAGTGTAGATCAGCCCGACTCATCCTCCGCTGAAACTGTTGCATTATCAAGAAGCAAAAGTGCATATTGAATTTAAAAAAAGGTAAATTACATTTTGTCCCTTTATGTTTAATTGTTTTTCCACTTTGATCTTTAAATTTTTTATTTTATTTTGATCCTCAATATTTCAAGTTTTTATTTTTATTTTTATATTAACTCTTAAACCTAATTTCTATTCAACACTAAACAGAAAATGCATGTTCATTGTCACGTGACATGTTAGTCTTTATAATATTATTTACATTTTTGTGGTTAAAAATACTCTCATAAGACGAATTACTTATAATTGAAGAACAATATCTGCATGAAAAGTGTCATTGAAGTTGATAACTAGAAGGAAAGCGCATTATGTGTGCAATTGAAAAGGTCTACTTGGGACAACTGAGAGGTTTTTCTTTTAGGGAAAAAAAAAGAAGAAAGAATAATAACATAATTGTTATTGTAACTGTTCTTATGAAAATTTTGAGAAAACAAAATTCTGTGACATAAACACAAATAATAGTGTTGGTTTTATACTAGCGCTAAGTTTGGCATGATTGAAAAAAGATAAAAAGTCAAAAAGTCACTATCCTATTTAAGTCACATCATCTTATTTAAGTCACATCACCTCTCTAACACATCACTTCAAACCCAACCCAAATCGAACCCATATTTCATAAAAAGTCAAAAAGTGCACTTATTTAGTCTTTCCAAACTAAGTCTAAAAATGATGATGCACACGATTTGGACACATATAATTATTTTATTTCAAAATTTAAGATTATAAAGTGTATGATTGAATTTAAAATTTGAAAATTGAAATAAATTTAAAAAAAATTAAAAATTGAGAAATTTGAAAAAAAAAGAAATAGAAGATAACTGTCCATATAATTGATATAGAGATACTTTTTAAAAATTTAAAATATGAAACATAAATATAGATAGATAGATAAATGCCACTCAGATTTTTTTATTTCGACAAAATGTAATAAGTAGTGAAGAACAGAGACACAGACAATCATCCCAATCATCGGAAACAAAAGGTAATAATAACCCCTCAATTACCCTTAACCTTTTGATCTCTTAGTTGCTCAAGCTCTTCAATCAACACCGTCAAATTTCTATGAGAGGACCCACCTTCTTTGACAGCTTTGTGTGCCATCTCTCCCAGCATTTTAGCCTTCTCCCTCATCATCTCCGCCGCCGGATCACCGCTGTCCATCACCCTCCTTACGGCGGCCTCTATGTTCTCTCTCCTCACCACATTCTTTCCAGCATCAATCCACAAGTTCCAATCCTTCTTCCCCACTTCCACCCCAACCCCCAACGCCTGAGTCACCAATTTCTCATTGTAAAAATGCTCAGCATACAGAGGCCATGTGATCAATGGTAACCCTGCACTTATACCTTCAATCACTGAATTCCAGCCACAGTGAGTCAAAAATCCACCAACTGATGGGTGATCCAAGATCAGCACCTGCGGTGCCCAACCTCTGATGATCATACCTTTACCTTTGGTCCTCTCTTCAAACCCTTTTGGTAACCACTTGTTTTTCTCTTCCTCTTCTTCATTTTCCTCCTTCCCAAACACTACCCAGATGAACTGATGCCCCGAGGCTTCGATTCCGGAAGCTAATTCCATGAGCTGATCATTGGGGAAAATGCACGCGCTTCCGAAGCAGACATAGAGGACTGAATTGGGTTTCTTCGAGTTTAAAAAACTCAGGCACTCGTGCTCTCCGACCACCGCCTTGTGGACTCGATCGGCCTGTTCGGCGGCGTTTCGATGAATGAGAGCCGCCGGACCAACGTGAAAGACCTTGTGACCCATGGTTTTTTTGTAGTGTTCGCAGTAATCAGACTCCAATTCGTAGAAATTGTTAACCAAAACTCCATAGCTTTTCAGCTCGGCTTCTCTGAACTGTTCCATCAACTGGGCATACCCGTTTGGGGTCCGAACGTAGTCAGGAAGCTCAGATTTCGTCATGGTGATCGGATGAGGTAGACCCGGAATCAAAAAGGGTTCGTCATCAGACTGAACAGAGAGGTGAGGAGAGTCAGGTTTTCTCATGGAGTCCTTGAGGGACATAGCGAAGATACAGGTGGCGTGGAATACGATCCTGGGGATTCGGAGTTTGATAGCGAGGTCGGCGGTCCAAGGGTGGAACATGTCGGAGAAGATGCAATCGGGGGGGTTGGCGGTGATGAATTGTTCAATTTTTTCTCGGAGGAGGTGCATGCCGGTGTGGATTTTGGTGGCGGTGTCGATGTCGTAGACGTTGAACAAGTTTTCGATGCCGTCGGGGAGGCCGACTTGTTTGGAAGGGAAAGGGAAGGTGTGGGCGGAGATGGGGTGGCCGGAGGAGGAGTCTTTGGAGATGGTGGTGTGGAGTAATTGGGCGTTGGCAGGGGTGGTGATGATGGTCACGCGGTGGCCGCGGGCGGAGAACAGGCGGGACATTTCGAATAGTGGGATCATGTGGCCTGGTGATAGGAAGGGCAGGAAGTAGAGTGATAGTGGACGTGATGGTGATTCCATATTGCGACTTAAAATGAGAGGGAGAGTGGAGGTAGGAGTGAGAGTGAGAGTGAGAGTGAGGGTTTCGAGTCAGAGTACCTTTTTATAGGGATTGGAAATAAATAAATAAATAAAACGAAACAAAACAAAACAAAATTCTAATTCATTGGCGTAAGCAGGTTATGAAAACAAGAAAAAGGTATTACACGTAGACTTCTAAATTATGATAAAAAAGAGAAAACAAAACAAAAAACAAAAAGCACTCTAATTCATTGGTGGAGGCAGGTTATTAAACAAGAAAAAGGTGTTACACGTAGACCTTATAAATTATGATAAAAAGAGAGTATGACACTATGGTCATGTTTGTTATCCAGATTCATGAGTGGGATTCGCTTAGGATTGAAGTGAACCCACATATATCTTGTTTGTTTGGTTTATGGGCTCTTGGATTGTCACTCCAAATGAATTGTAAGTCCTACGCAGTGGTGGGATTGGGATGCCTTCAATACAGATTGGATTGAAAAACTAATCCCACCACACAGTGTTGAAGGTTTTTTTTTGTGTAAATTTTTTACTTTATTCTCTCACTAATTATCTTTTATATTATCATTAAAATAATTATATTTTTACTTTATTATTTTATTAATAATCTCCACATTAATAATCTCTTCACTAATCATCCCTTCACTAAGAATCTCATCCAATCTAATTGGCCAAACAAACGTGGCCTATATGTACCAATTAATATACTAGTTGATGATGTGGTATAATTTAAGAAGTTTTTAGTATTTATAATTTGTATAATAATGTCATAATTAATATTGGTACACTAGTTAGTGCACTAATTAGTGCATGTAGCACCATTATAAAAGAAAATGACCTTTTAAATTATTATGTCTCGTTTGAAAATAGGTTATTTCAGTTATTTTTTTAATTTTTTAATTATTTTAACCTAATTAAAATATTATGATTGAGATGATAGTTGATTTTTTTTTTATTTGATAGTTGTGAGGGAAAAAAAGAAATAATTATTATTTATATGTAACATTTTATATTATTAGTTATTTTAGTCTAAACCCAACTCCCCAGACAAGACCTTAATGTCCTAAAATTCTTTATTGGGTGGTTTTAAAGTATGGTGATGTGGTGTTTAGAAATATTATGATTGATAGAATAGATGAAATTTACAATTTTATTTTAAATCAGTAAGAAATAACATTGGCCACAGTGGTTTGTAATTGGTGAGGGACGTTGCCCATTAGTGTCTAATTTTATTTTATTTTATTTTTTTCAAATTATGAACAATGTCACTCCACCATGCAAATCTATCTTCTTATTTTTATTTTTATTTTTATTTTATTGTAATATATATATATATATATCATTATTATGAGTTAGGACTATTTTATTAGATGAAGGCTTTTCTCTAGTCATGAAAATTGATTCGGTTGTATAATTTTATTTTCTATGAACTCTTTATAAATTTATTTTGATAATTCAAATCGTTTATGTGGGGATATATTTTCTGAGTCCCAACACGTGACCAAGGTGACGCTGACGTGTCAGCCGAGGTGCCATGTGTCCAGGTTATGACGCCGAGGTGATCTCGATTAGGCCGAGGTTATCTCCGAAGATATCGAAATCCGAGATAAGTAGATAAGGTACAAGAGTCCTAGAATGAGGAAGGACTTTAGCACGGATAAGGATAACACTCTTAGGGAGTTTATCTTTATCTCTTGGAGAGTCCAGGATAAGCACTGAGCAAAAGTCCATTGAAGCTAGGCTTCTATGAGGACTAGGAGTGAGGTAACTATAAAAGAAAGGCACCCCCGATGGGTCTAAGGTACGCAATTTATATTCTGAACAGTGAATTTAGCACTATTGATTATCTTTGAGAGATATACTGACTTGATCGTCGGAGTGCCCCCAGGTGGACGAACCACCGCCGGAATCTTCTCTTTCTATTACAGGTCAGTCAGGTGTCATCTATTTTTCCAGTGCTCTCCAGCTGAATACTGAGTTGACAGTGTGATCGGAAAATCACTCACACAATTTGGTGTCATCTGTGGGAAAGAAAGGAGAATAGATGGCCAGTGACGGACAGAAGGATAAGGTTGGGGACGAAACCCCTGCTGGGAACAGTAAGCACGTTGATCCTAATGTGGAGGAAGATGGTCGCAATGAGGAGACTCAGAACCAGATTCACGGCAAGAAAGACGTCGGCCAAGATGGCAACGTGCCAAAGAAACCAGATAGAAGCGGATACTACAACGAGGACAACCTCCAGGTATGGAATGATAGATGCCTGCGGAGGGACGAAGAGGTGAAAGAGATGGCAAACAAATTGGCAGATCTGCAATCTGTTGCCAATTTTATGATGCAAAGTAATGTCATGCAGCCACCATACCCGCTGCAGGACACGCCAATTCCAGCGGCCAATGCCCAGAAGGGAGGGCAGAAGCAAATCCCAATAGCCCCTCAGCACACCAGGAGTGAAAAACACTTTCACTGGCCTTCAAGGGAGGCCGGACGAGGAGAGTCGAGAAGAGAAGAGTCGCGGAGGACGCATCGCGCCAAAGAGGCAGACCCCAAAGAATATCGGCATGTTCAGGGGCAGGCGCTCTGCTTCGACATAACTCACGGAGAAAAATCGAGAAGGACCCACCATGAAGATAAGAGTAGTATGCCGAAAAGACTGAAGTCAGAAGATAGCCGAGCTCCTGGGCGGAGCAAAGAAGACTTGAGAGATTACCTCAAGAGGAAGCAGCAGAATGCCGATGCCGAGGTAACTTCCCCTGATAAGCTGAGAACACCATTCTCAGTGGAGTTAGACAAATTTGAGGCTCCGAAGAGGTTCAGTATGCCAAGGTTTCAAATATACGATGGTAAGTCAAACCCCAACTTTCATGTTGGATTATACCTGAATTCAATGGCGTTGTATAGTGGGAACGAGCCGTGACTCTGCAAAGTGTTCCCCTCATCTTTTGGGGAGATTGCATCAGATTGGTTCCACAAATTACCAAAAGAGAAGCGTGAAGACTTGGGAAGGCCTGGCCGAGATGTTTGTGGCCAGGTTTGTGACAAACAAGCTGCAGCCATTGAGGGTGGACGCATTGATGGCTCTCAAGATCAGTAAGGATGAAGGCCTTAGGGCCTATGCAAAAAGATACTATGAGGTGTTCAACCGAATACCAGAGTATAATCAAGAGGTGGCGGTCGTATCTTTTAAGAACGGCCTAAAAGACGACTGTCTACTACGAAAATCTTTGGCAAAAACATTGCCAAAAAGTATGGAAGAGCTCATGGCAAGAATCGAGAAGTATGCCAGAGTCGAGGAAGATACATCAGGGGCAGAGAGAAGAGATTATGTTTAACACTTGTTGAAACTTGAGAAAAGTTTACAAGTTGAAGTTAAACCGAAATGATATTTAACACTTGTTGAAACTTGAGAAAAGTTTATAAAGTTGAAGTTAAACCGAGATGATGTTTAATACTTGTTGAAACTTGAGAAAATTTTACAAGTTGAAGTTAAACCGAAATGATGTTTAACACTTGTCGAAACTTGAGAAAAGTTTACAAGTTGAAGTTAAACCGAGATTATGTTTAACACTTGTTGAAACCTAAAAAGTTTACAAGTTGAAGTTAAACCGAGATGATGTTTAACACTTGTTGAAACCTAAAAAGTTTACAAGTTGAAGTTAAACCGAGATTATGTTTAACACTTGTTGAAACTTAAAAAATTTACGAGGTGAAGATAAACCGAGATTATGTTTAACACTTGTTGAAACTTAAAAAGTTTACAAGTTGAAGTTAAATCGAGATAACGTCTAACACTTGTTGAAACTTGAGAAAAGTTTACAAGTTGAAGTTAGACTAAGGTTAAACACTTGTTGAAATTTTATGAAAAAATTTACAAGTGAAACTAAGGTTGTACCAAGAAAGATACTTGGGTACTTGCCGAGGTAAATCATCAGTTTGTATTACCGAGGTGTTTCACCCCGAGAAGGTTGCACAAGACTAAGGAGCATTTTGAAGACACAAAATTATTCTAAGTATGAAAGTCATAAAAAAGCAATAAAGGGAAGACAAACATACAAGCATTTAAGAAAGAAGGAAGTTGTATTCATAAGAAGGCACATCGACCATACGAAGAGTTTACATTGTCCCAAAAACAAAGAAATACAAAAGGTGAAAAACAAAGGAAAAAGACACCAAAATTAAGATTCTTCAGGCTCCTTAGCAAGCTGGGTTTGGACCTCGGAAGACTGCTGGGAGGACATCTCGACCGCCTTCTCAGCCGCAAGCTCAGCATCAATTTCTTGAAGAGTTTGATCAAGGCTCTTGTCGGCAAGAGGCATGTCTAATGATACCTGCTCAGGGGTAGCTTCCATGGGCACTTCATCACCCTCATCATCTTGAGTCAAGTCCAAGACCTGCTCATTCAAAGAAGAGGACTTGATCCCAGCAGTCTCCTTTGGTTTCCTCACCAAAGTCTCCTCCTCGGACTCAGATTCGTCGGCGGATTGACTTGGAGTTGGAGGGAACGGAAGAGGAATGGCGTCGGCGTTCCTAAGGGGAGAATCCTCTGGGACTTCAAGCCTTTTTAGAAGAGACATCTAACCAAGGGTGAAACCCTTGTTGCATGCCTGCTTCACTTGCTTTTCATATTCTACCGTGACATCGGCCACCCCTTAGTTATAGCCCTTCTCGTCGGCGATCTTGACTTCAGCCTCTTTTGTGGCCAGGGCGTCTTGAAGTTCCTTCTGGGCCTGGGTTATCTTTTCTTCGGCCTCTCTCTTTTCAGACTCAAGAACCTTCTTAATGGCCTCGGCGGATTCTGCTTTTTCTTCAGCGACGTTTTGGGCCTTGTTTTCGGAATATCCTCATCCCTAACCCTCAACTGATGGTAACCCGATCTCAAGTCTATCTTAAATAAACAACGGGACCCTTTCAACTGGTCAAACAAGTCATCTATACGGGGCATAGGGTACTTATTCTTAACCGTAGCCCGATTCAACTTCCGGTAGTCGATACAAAGTCTCAAGGCACCATCTTTCTTTTTAGCAAAGAGGGCCGGTGCTCCCCACGACGAAACACTAGGGCAAACAAAACCCTTATCTAGCAACTCCTGGAGTTGAATCTTCAATTCACTCAACTCGGCTGGGGAAAAATGGTAAGGTGCCATAGAAATCGGCGCCGTGCTGGGCACTAAGTCAATAAAGAACTCGATCTCTCGATGTGGTGGCAAACTAACAAGATCCTCGGGAAAAACATCCGAATACTCGCAAACCACTCTCAGCAATACAATTTGGGTCTCATTCACTATTCATAAGGCTAGCAAGAAGACCGCTAAGTTCACTCCGCCCTCGCGGATCATACACCGATGGCAACACACTACCAACCCGATCCCCCAAGAAATGGAAACAATCCCCGCTCAAGGTACATACTGTGACCCTCTGGCGGTAGCAATCAATAACAGCCCGGTATGACGACAATCAGTCCATACCCAAAATAACATCAAAGCCCGACATAGGCATAACTACAAATGGAAATGGAAGCCGGCGGTCAGCGACCTCTATATCACAGCCCCGACACCCTTGTTTCAAAATCAACTCACCTCCAACAGATGATACAACACAAATAGGAGATGCTAACTGTGCCAACTCCAAACCCAAAACAGATGTAAATGCAGCAAATATAAAAGAATGGGATGCACCTGTATCAATCAACACATTGGCAACCGAGTTGCAAAACAAAAAGGTACCTCTCACAATAGATGGAGCCGATACAAGATCCTGCGTGGTAACAGTATACACGCGCCCTAAAGGCCCCTGACCTACCTGCTCACCTCTCGGAGCAAAGGACTGCTGTACAGACTGGGATGACGAATCCCCCTGATTGGCCCTTGAGGCCTGAACCGACTGAGCTGGCTGAAAACTCTACCTCTACCTAGATGCACCAGAAATGCCACTCAACTGCGGGCAAAACCTCTTCAAGTGCCCCGCCTGACCACACTGGTAACAAGAGAGCGGCTGGCCTCTGCCCTGACTCTGGCTCTGAGGTCGAGCCGAAGATGAAACTGCTCTCTGTCCTCCGCCCTTTTGCGAGCAAGCTAGAGACTTGTGGCCCAGCTGACCACACTTGTAACAGGTGATGTCTCCCTGACTGCCTCTCCAAGAGCCTGCACTCAGCACTGGAAAGGTCGATCTAGCAAAACCACCCTGAGACTGCTGAGGGTTAGAACCCCTCTGTCTCCTGCCATCACCCTGGCCATCTTGACTCCTCTTGTAGCCCCTCTGCCTCTCTTCCTCCTCCTGCATCATGATCTCCATATGGGCCGCAGTATCCACAAGGCGCCCATAATCCCGAGTCATAGAACCCCCAACTCTCATCTTGAGGCCATGCCTCAACTTATTCTCAAACTCTAGACAATGGCGTTCCTCAGACGCCACAAGCTTTGGTGCAAACCTGGATAGACTGGTAAATGCGGCCTCAAACTCGGCCACCGATAAACTCAGCTGCTTGAGCTGACAAAACTGGTCTCTCAGTTTCTCCTTGGCAGCTGGAGATAGAAACTTCTCCTAGAAAGCATCCACAAAAACCTCCCACGTGCCACCAATACGACCCCTCATGTACTTCCACCGCTGACCCGCATCCCCCTTCAGCTAGAAAGATGCCAAGGTCACCTTCAAAACCCCGTCTTCGATACCAAGCATATCAAACGTCTTCGTCATCTGTTCGAGCTATTCATTAGCTTTCAGTGGCTCTTTCGGATTCCCCACAAACTCGTCCGAATTAGACCGGAAAAACTCCCTCTTTAGGAAGGAAGGTCCTGCATCAACAACTTGGGCCTGAACTGGAGCCTCAGCTCTGAGGATACCCATGGATTCCCTCAATGCTCCTGTTATCTCGCGGGCTAAGGCACCCATGGCCTGCTGACCCGCTGGTTCGGCCACATTGGCCTGACCAACACCCTCCTGCTGCGCCGAAATATCATCTAGTAAAGGCATCTCCTGCCTACCACGCCTACCACGTCTACCTTCACGTCCTCGTCCTCGTCCTCGTCCTCGTCCTCGTCCTCGTCCTGACGTCCTAATAAAGGTAATGAAAAACATTAGCACATTTATAAATGTGCCAAAGCTAAAACACTCGCGTCCTAATGCATGGACAACCGTAATTTACTCCACGTAAGCACATAATTACATAAGCACTTACGAATTTCATTTCCGGATAACGATAGTCCCGAGGCGTTACTAGAGTTTCGGTTAGAAACAGCATTGATCAAGTGCTTTTCTAACAAGACTCACAGAAACCCAAGGATCCAATCACTATCCTAGAAACTAAATCTCATACCCATATAGTCACATAAACATGTTATCACATAAGTACATAACATTACATCTAAGTCTCTAACAAGCGAGACAAACCCATTGTAATGCTAATCACTTCCCACGTACCCAAAGTATTCAAACCCGGTACGCTCTGATACCAAGTTGTAACGCCCTCAAAATAAACCCATAAATCATACATTCTTGACATGCTTAAACATAAGAGAATGAAACATAATCACATTTCATCAGAGTATTCATTACAAAATGTATTACATGTTGACAACAAAAGTAAATGCCCTATAGGCTTACAACTTTCCATGTCAACACTTAGTTACAAAAAGGAGAGTACTAACTCTACACAAAATAAGCTCTTGGCTTGATATAAATGTAATACCACAAAAAGAACGACAAAATAAAGTCAAACAGCCTCAAGCCTCCCAAGCTACGTCCTTGGAGGTGGCATGCTCCCTGTACTTGAAAATGATTTCCCATATAGGGTGAGCCACAGCCCAGTAGAGATATACTAAACCAAATATAAGCAATGACTAAAACAATAGCATTTGATAGATGGTTAGCACTTGTAATCCAATTACATCACAATACAGTTCCATGACAATTATGTCCATGTTACGTTCCACTTTCCATTTCTTATCCAATTTCCTAATTCATAACAATGGCTCAAAACCTGGCCAAACAATTTAAATGAGATTACATCTCATATCAACAGTACTTCCATTTCAACTGAGATAACAACTCAAATTAAACACTTCATACTTTACATTAGATACACATAATTGATGTATCAATCTCAAATAAAACACTTCCGTACTTCATACATAATACACAGATTTGCTGTATCAATACTTCAATAGATACACATTTTTGCTGTATCGATGGAGTCCATCCCCTATCTCCTCCCAAACAATATCCAGTTTAGGAGTCCATCCCATATTTTCCCCTAAACCGTGGAGTACATCCTCTATCTCCTCCCACACAATACAATGTATATAAACACATATCATATACATAATCAATCAATACATACAGTTAATGTATTATTCCAACCGTCATATCCGATGACATATTCAATGTGATTAGTTTCAGTTTTCCCTAATCAACATACAGTGTCTACAACAATCAAGAATATCCTCCACCGATAGCCCAAAGCAGTTATTTCCAAACAGAAAATAAATGCACTAAACTGATACAATATCAACATTTTAATGGGTAAGTGATTAATTAATCCAACTACACTATTCAATCCCATAATTCCCCAATTTCATGTATTTCAACTCAATTCCACACTTTTCCCAAATTAATTATACCAATTAATTTATTACAACACATTTAGGGCATTATTCCCTTATTCTCAAATAATGATCCTAAGACTAAATTCCACCAATTTAACTCTCAAGCCTACATTTCCAAGGCTCTAAATATACATGGAGCTTTAAAACACAAAACCCCTCTTTTATAAATTACAACCAAACCCTAACTTTTCTCAAAATCTCCCAACATCACCAACTAATCAAAATGACCAAAATTAAAGACAAAGCTCATAAGATAGAGTAGGATATCCCTACCTCGAGATGAAGAGCTCAAATGGAGGAGTTGACCAAAATCCAAAGTGCTCCAAATCCAAGATTTTTCAGATTAAAAGGAAGCCCTCAACACCCTCTATCTTTCTTACAAAGAGCCTAGACTAGAAACTCACTAGAAGTAGATCAATCCCTAGAGAGAAGTTGTTTAGAGAGAGAGAGAGCTCAGATCTAGGGCTTTTGAAAAAGAAAGAGATGAAAAAGTGAAGTGTAATCCCGCTGCTGTCTACTGATATAGGTATGACCCGTTCGAGCGGAGAATAAGACGCTCGAGCGTAAGACACAAAAACTGGACCCGCTCGAGCGCAAAGATGCCCGCTCAAGCGCCAAGACACAACTGCAAAACACACCCACTCAAGCGCAAAGGGAAAGCCGCTTGAGCATAGATTTCCCCCTTCCAGTACTTTTACAGACAATGAACTACCCGTTCGAGCGCCAAGATACCCGCTCGAGTGTAAGGAAATCCGCTCGATCGTAAAAAACGCACCTGCAGAAGTTTTGCAGAGGCACAAAATGCTGAGAGTGTGTAAACTTCGCTCGAGCGTAAAGGGACCCGCTCGAACGGACTACGAAAAATCTGGGCAACTAGGAATGGGACTTAAGCTCAACCAACCTGTTCGAAACACGCCGAATACACCCTAAAACTCAAGTATATGGAATTAAAGGATGACAAAAAGATATATACAA